TTTGTAGGTGGCAGCTCCTTCCTGCATCAAGGGTGCTGGCGTGCTGGCTATGATATGGCGTCACCCGCCACATTATTGAGGGCAATCCGCGCCCCCTGGCACCACCTCCCACGAAGCTGAACTCATCGCCCTCACTTGAGCTCTCACTCTAGCAGCTGGACAACAGATCAACATATATTCAAATTCTCATGATGTGTTCCACATGGTGCACTCGCGCTCGTCCATCTGGAAAGAACGGGGTTTCCTAACTGCAAAAAACACACCTGTCATAAATGGCTGTCTCATCAGCAAGCTCCTTCAAGCTGCCAGACTCCCGCAGAAAGCCGCCATCATTCAATGCAGTGGCCACCAAACCCCGGACAATCCTGTATCAGCTGGAAATGAGCTAGCAGAGCAGGCAGCCAAACAAGTAGCCCTACTACCCATGCAAGGCCAGTTTCTGTCCCTGTCCTTGTTCTCTCCTCTTCACTCCTCAGAAGAAAAAGAGGACTTCTGAGCCCAAAACCTTCCAAAGCAAGGACCATGGTATGTCAAGGAAGGGCGCTTCGCTTTTCCTCACTCTGAAAGAATTCCTATCCTCCAAAGGCTCCACAACTCTTCCCATGTTGATTACAAACTTCTCTTGCAACTGCTCCACCCTATTCTCACTTGTCCTCAGCTTTCCAGCCATGTTCGAGAAATTACCCAGTCCTGCTCTATCTGCTACTCAGTGTCACCCCAGGGCTCCCTCCAGTCACTGCCTTTTCCTACCCACCAAGCCCAGGCCCGGGTACCCGGGCAAGATTGGCAGGTAGATTTCACTCATACCGCGCAATAAACGACTCCGCTGTCTTCTGGCCTTTGGTTATACTTTCTCTGGGTGGGTAGAAGCGTTCCTGACAACTTCAGAAGGTGCACATACCATCACACAAACTCTCATCGTGCATATAATTCCCCGTTTCGGACTCCCAGCATCCATCCAGTCCGATAACGGGCCCACCTTCATCAGCCAAATTACCCAAGCCATCTCTACATCCTTGGGAATAAAATGGGTTCTCTACACACCCTACAGGCCTCAATATTCAGGCAAAGTTGAAAAGGTCAATGCTGTCCTTAAAGCCTGACTCACCAAGCTGGCTCTAGAAACCTGCCAGTCGTGGACAAAAAAATCTCCCTTTCGCCCTCATGAGACTCTGCACAACACCAAAAACACTTTCTTTTTATGGTCCCTTTGAAATCATGTACAGCCCAACTTTTGTCTTAGGGCCTCCACCCTTACCAGCCTCTAAGCCACTTGGGAATTAGCTCCCCTCCTTAATCCAGACACAGTCTTTCATTTGTGAAGTGGCGAATGAGGCCATGCATCTCCCTGCCGACACTTCCTTGTCCTCTCAACATAACTGTCTTGCAGGAACAGACGTGATTATCTGCCAAACCAGCTCTCACAAAAAGCTAGAACCAAAGTGGACAGGCCCCTACACTGTGGTACTCAGCTCGCCAACTGCAGTGAGAGTCCACGGACTCCCCAGCTGGGTCCATCGCACCAGGGTCAAGCTCACCCCCAAGGCTACTCCTTCCTCCAAAACATATCAGCAGGCAACACCCTCAGAGTCCCTGTGTATGATAACTTAAACAGAGAAAAGTGATCCTTCAAGGTAGAAGAAAGCCATTCTTTTGGCCTCCGCATCAGATCCTCGAATATTACGTTCCTGCCACTTAGGCGGAGGATAGTTCATGGGGTTATTGCACTCCCATATATATGCTAAATATATAGAATAACCAATGTAGAGAAGAACATAAATGACCTGATGGAGCTGAAAAACACAGCATGAGAACTTCGTGAAGAATAATAGACTAGTTAGACTACTCAAGAATAATTAGACTACAGGTGGTTCTAGAGATAATCACTAACCAAACTGCCTCAGCCCTGGAAATGCTCGCACAACAACAAAACCAAACGCGCGCGGCAATTTATCAAAACAGGCTAGCACGAGACTACTTATTAGCAGAAGAGGGCGGAGTCTGTGGTAAGTTTAATATCTCTAATTGCTCTCTTAACATAGATGATAACAGAAAAGCGGTTCTAGAAATCACTTCAAACATCAGAAAAGTAGCCCATGTACCGGTCCAAACCTGGAACGGATGGGACCCAACGAGCCTTCTAGGAGGGCGGTTCTCCAATTTAGAAGGATTTAAAACGCTGGTATCGACAGTAATCTTCATCGTTAGGTTCCTCCTGTTTCTCCCCTGTGTTATCCCACTAATAATGAAAGACTTTAAAACTCTTCTTGAAACTACAGTTAACCGCCAGACAATCTAGACGCTCCTGCTTCAATGACACGATGGATACCAACCCATCTATCAAGAATACCCCCAAAATTAAGGTTTTCTTTTTCCAAGGTGCCCTCACCACCCCCTATGTTACGCCTGAAGTAGTCATTGAGAAAGATGTCCCTTTTCCTTTTTCTATGACCAAATAGGAATGTAAGATTCTCCCCATGGCCTGAAAGCTTAAGGAGATGAATAACTCCCCCCTTCTCAGCCCCAGTCCCAAGGCACAACTTGCGCCAGCAGCCTGTGCCAGCAAGATGGCAGAAGCAGGAAGAAAGCCAGCCAGAAGACACCTACCCTGGCAGGAAGACACGTACCCCTGAAGATCGAGAAAGAGGTCATCCGGGTACAAGGGAACAGTCACGTCAGACTAGGACACTTCCCGTTTACAGAGGACTATAAAATCTTTGCCCCCTCCTCACTTGGGGCTGATGCCATTTTAGGCCTCAGCCCACCTGCACCCAGGCACTCATTAAAACAGCGTGTTGCTCCACACCGCCTCATGTTGTCTGTTGACGCAGTCTTGGGGTTCGAACTGATACAAGAACCTTACAATATCCTATCTTCCGCTTGATCGATTCGGCTATTGATACTAGTGTATTCTTCACGATGTTCTCACGCTGTGTTTTTCAGCTCCATCAGGTCATTTATGCTCTTCTCTACATTGGCTATTCTAGTGAGCAATTCAATTAACCTTTTTTCAGGGTTCTTAGCTTCCTTGCATTGGGTTAGAACGTGCTCCTTTAGCCTGGAATTGTTTGTTATTAACCACCTTCTGAAGCCGACTTCTGTCAGTTCGTCAAACTCATTCTCCATCCAGTTTTGTTTCCTTGCTGGCGAGGAGTTGCAATCCTTTGGAGGAGGAGAGGCGTTCTGGTTTTTGGAATTTTCAGCGTTTTTTGCACTGGTTTTTCCCCATCTTTGTGGATTTATCTGCCTTTGGTCTTTGATGCTGGTGACCTTCTGATGGGGTCTTTGAGTGGATGTCCTAATCCTTTGTATTTCTCTTCCTTCCAACAGTCAGGCCCCTCTGCTGCCAGTCTGCTGGAGTTTGCTGGAGGTCCACTCCCAACCCTGTTTGCTTGGGTATCACCAGCGGAGGCTGCAGAGCAACAAAGACTGCTACCTGTTCTTTCCTCTGGAAGCTTCGACCCAGAGGGGCACCTGCCAGATGCCAGCCAGAGCTCTCCTGTATGAGGTGTCTGTCAGCCCCAACTGGGAGGTGTTTCCCAGTCAGTACACACAGGGGTCAGGGACCCACTTCAGGAGGCAGACTGACCCTTAACAGAGCTCGAACGCTGTGCTGGGAGGTCCGCTGCTCTCTTCAGAGTTATCAGGCAGGGACGTTTAAGTCTGCTATAAGCCCCTGACTGGGGCTGCTGCCTTTTTCACAGAGATGCCCTGTCCAGAGAAGAGCAATCTGGTAGTCTGGCCACAGAGGCCTTGCTGAGCTGCAGTGGGCTCTGCCCAGTTCAAACGTGCCAGCAATTTTGTTTACACTGTGGCCGTAAAAACGCCTACCAAAGCCTCAGCAATGGCGGATGCCCCACCCTTCCACCAAGCTGGACCTTCCCAGGTGGATCTCAGATTGCTGCTGTGCTGGCAGCGAGAGTTTCAAGCTAGTGGATCTTAGTTTCCTGGGCTGCGTGGGGGTGGGACCCTCTGAGCCAGACCACTTGGCTCCCTGGCTTCAGTCCCCCTTTCCAGGGGAGTGAACGGTTCTGTCTCGTTGGCATTCCAGGCGCCACTGGGGTATGGAAAAAAGAAAAGCTCCTGCAGCTAGCTCGGTGTCTGCCCAATTGGCCGCCCAGTTTTGTACTTGACACCCAGGGACCTGATGGGGTAGTCACAGGAGGGAATCTCCTGGTTTGTGGGTTGTGAAGACCGTGGGATGAGTGCAGTATCCGTGCCAGAGTTCCTCAGGCTCAGACCCTCACGGCTTCCCTTGGGTAGGGGGCAAACTTCTCCAGCCCCCTGCGCCTCCCGGGTGAGGTGAGGCCCTCACCCTGCTTCGGCTCGCCCTCGGTGGGCTGCACCCACTGTCCAACCAGTCCCAGTGAGATGAACTGGGTGCCTCAGTTGGAAATTCAGAAATCACCCACCTTCTGTGTCAGTCTCACTGGGAGCTGCAGACCAGTGCTGTTCCTATTCAGCCATCCTAAATCTCCTTCTTTTTTTTTATTTTTTTGTTTTTCTGTTTGTTTGAGACAGGATCTCACTCTGACACCCAGACTGGAGTGCGGTGGTGAAATCTGGGCTCACTGCAACCTCCACCTCACAGGTTCAAGCGATTCTCCTGTCTCAGCCTCCTGAGTAGTTGGGATTACAGGCACCCAACACCACACCCAGCTAATTTTTGTATTTTTTAGTAGAGATGGAGTTTCACGATTTTGGCCAGGCTGGTCTCAAACTCCTGACCTCAAGTGATTCACCCACATGGTCTTCCCAAAGCACTGGGATTTCAGGCGTGAGCCACCACACCCAGCCATGTTTAGCAACTCTTAAAAGTTGTGAATGGAGAATTAAGTCTATTCTCAACATTAGAAAATCTAAGTTAAAATTGAATGACTCTAGTAAGAATTGGCCTTTAGGTGTCCTGGGTCCCCCTCTGCCACTGACCTCTCTCCCACCCCCAGAAAAGAGTTTTCTAATTTTTCTTATTTATAAAATGGGTTTGATTCAAAACTGACCTTTCCTCTTCACAGAGTCTCACAGGTCCTTCCCCAGGTCCAAGAGGCTCTTCTGTGGCCTGATGACGAGTAGCTGCCTAGCCGTGGTAGCACCTCCTGTCTCATGGTAAGGGGCCCCTCCCCAGGGCCACACCTGGCAGAAGATGGCTCATGGTGTTAGAAGCTTGAAAATACTGTAAACCAAAAATAAAATTCTAAGCCCACTCCCCCAACCATCTGAATGGACCCCTCCTCTTGGCCAGTGCAACCCAAAGTTAACCTGAAAAACTGGTTCAGGCTGTGAAGAGAAGGTGGGGTGGGGTGGACATGCCTCATCTATGTCCTCCTCCCTTTTGAAATTCAGCAAAGGCTGACCAGCATGGAACATCAACACAGACCTTAAGTCTAATAAGAGGCATTTACAATCTATTCTTTCTGAAGTGTGCTATGTGGAGGCTTCCTCTACGTGATAAAACTTTAGTCTCCAAATCCCTTACCATAACCTAGACATTCCTTTCTAGTGATAATAACTCTTTCAAGCAATTGCCAATAAAAAAAAATTTCAATCTACCTCTAACCTGGAACCTCCCCGCTCCATCTTCAACTTGTCCCACCTTTCTGGATGGAAACGATGTGTACCTTGCATGTATTTGATTGATGTCTCATGTCTCCCTAAAATGTATACTATTAGGCTGTGCCCAGATTGCCTTGGGCACATGTTCTCAGGACCTCCTGAGGGCTGTGTCTTGGGCCATGGTCACTCAGATTTGGCTCAGAATAAATCTCTTCAAATATTTTGCAGAGTTTGACTCTTTTTGTCGACAATAAGCTCATCAAATTAAAGCTGTTGGAACTTTAAGTTACTTTGAGCCCTGAAGGAATGTGATTGTGAGACCCTGGTCAATCTGCAAGTCACTGTGAACTTTGCTTCTCCAATTATAGATTGACGCTCTTCCTTTCTTGATTTGTAACATGTTATGAAAGACTAAATGGCACCAGATGTAAGAACCCTTACTTCTCTTCCTTACTGACCTTTCATTATAGATTAACTTCCTTCTTTCTTTTCTTGCCCCCAACTCAGACCAGATGGCACAAAAGACACCATGTCTATCAAATATCATAAGACAGTTTGTTAAATATACTTTTCCCAAAGGGAACAAGATATAACCAAACAAATTGCTGCAACTCATAAGCCAGTCTTATGTGGAAAATGTAATCATGCTAAACCTTCTTGTATTTTCCCATTTAAGTGAAGCGCTAATCCCTCCACCTCAGAGCACCGAGCCCATTCCTTTAGAGTCTGTGTTTTCTGAGTGGTGGTCCTCAAACTTAGAATAAACTCCATAACATTGGATTTTGAGCCTTTCAATTATTTATTTCAGGTCGCAGAAGAAACACACAGACCCCACCTCTTCCTTTGGAGTTCTGTACTGCTCATTTCAAAGGGATTTCATCCTTTCTTTTGTAACCACCCAAGGGGTTCCTCCTGCTCCCTTCCTAAATAAAGACCATGCATTCCAGTAAAGAAAGAGTTTAATAGACACAGGCAGGCCGCACCACATGGGAGAGAGAGTTTGTACTTAAATCATTTCATCAAAGGCTCGTAGGTAGGGGTTTTCCAAGGCAGTTTGGGGGGTCACAGGAGGCCAAGTAACAGGTACTGATTGGCTGGGGCAGACATGAACTCATAGAGGGGTCAAAGCTGTCCTGCAGGCTAAATTGCTTCTTAGGGAAGTGCCACAGGAGTGAGGTTGGCGGGTCCAGGTAGAGCCATGGGAACCAGACATGCAAAAAACCTGAAAAGATATTTCAAAAGACCAATCTACAGTAGGGGAAATTGTGTATTTTGCTACAGCGGTCTACACCTTAGCTCAAAGTTTTTCATTAGCTTTACAGAGGCAGAAGAATTTTGGGGGAGACCTGTTGTTATTTAAACCATAAATTAAATGTCTCCCAAGGTTAGCTCAGCCCAAAAGCCCAGGAATCATTAAGGGAAAGGAAAGATGGGGGGTGCTTTAGCTCAGCTCACTCTTACAATTTTTCTCACTGATAGAGTTTTTGCAAAGGCGGTTTCACTTTCAGCGTGGTCCTCCTAACCTCTCCTGCTTCCTCAGGTCCTCACCCTAAACCAGCACCCACCCTGCACTCCCAGGGTGTACCCTCCCTTCCCTCCTGCTCACCTGGGCCTATCCTAGGTTCCCCCCAGGAGCTGTGGAAGGTCCCAGTGGTGCCACCTTGGCCTCCAGGCATCACTCTCCAGTTTCTTCCCTCCTCCCTCCACAGGAACCTTGCCTCAAAAGTCAGTCCTGCTGCTCTCTGCTGCACTCAGCCTCTTCCTGGCAAGTGTGCTCCTCCCCTCGTGAAAAAGAAGCCATCACCAGCCTCTTGTGCCCACCCACATCTAGACCCCCCAATCCTCTCCAGTCTCAGTGTTTTGGAAGAGCCTCTGGGTCACAGGGGCTGGGAAATTCGGCTGGTCATCCCCACCAAGCAAACACATTCTCCCATCCACAGTCCCTCAGTGGGTGAAGGCTGAGCCCCAGTAAAGGACAGATCATCACTGTCACAGTGAGTGAACTAGAGCGACTCCATGCTGAGTAGGGGCTGGGAAAAATGAGGCTGAACCTTCCGTGCTGCATTCTCAGGTTAGGCATTCTTAGTCACAGGATCAGATAGGAGGTTGGCAGGATTAGTATCATGAGATACAAGTCACCGGGACCCTGCTGATCCAATAGGATGCAGTAAAGAGGCCGGCCAAAACCCACCAAAACCAAGATGGTGACAAAAGTAACCTCCAGTCGTCCTCGCTGCTCATTATGCGCTAATCGTAATGCATTAGCTGCTAAAAGACACTCTCACCTGCGTCATGACAGTTTACAAATGCCATGGCAACGTACAGAAGTTACCCTATATGGTCTAAAAAGGGGAGGGACCCTCAGTTCAGAAAAATCCCCTCCCCTTTCTTGGAAAACTCACAATCCACCCGTTGTTTAGCATATAATCAAGGAATAACCATAACTATACTCAGTCAAGATCCAAAAGCCCTGTCTTGGGCTATGGACTGGGACTCCTTTCTGGTAACACTACTAGGGTACATGGAGCCCCCACATCCCAGGGCAAGTGATGCACAAGCCTAAGCCATCAGCAGCCACCCCTGTCAGGCTCCTATGTGGACTCCTTGGTACAGGGCATTTGGTTTACCAGGCCTGAGAGACCC